GGAGCCTGTGGTCCTTGGTCACAACAGCCAAAACATCCAAATCAATTTCTCCATCTCCCTACAGGCACAGGATCATGAGGGCATGACTAATGTTTGGTGCAGGAGGCAGGGAAGGGATGCACATTTGCTGAGACCAGCTTAATTTTTAAACATCTACATGCCTCCAACACCAGACACTTGCTGTGAAATCCAAATGAAGAAGGCTGAAAAGAAAAAAAAGCAGGCATGCAAGCAGGCCTGACTATTCCTTGCTTCTTTTTACCCTATACAGACACAAGCCTTTTAAGAGTCAGACAGGAAAACAGAAAACCCACACAAACACACAAAACCAACACACCACCAATCTTAGCAATCTTCGACATATCCATAATTTTTACTTAATTTTTAGCTAATGGTGGAAATTAGTCTTTGGATAGTTGATAAAAATCAACCTGTCTCTGCTGGGTTAGTACCATGATCCGTGGCCCAGCAACTACTTCTAGTACAATTGATTTTCCTTTTTGGCAACCAATAGGTCAGTCAATAATAATGTTGTTTGAAAAGGATTGAGTCATGAGGGAGATGAACCCTCCCTGCCATTTATTATGTTTGTATTGTCTTCATTTGAAAAGGTTTTTTCTTTTTTTTTATCCCCAGTCAGTGAAGGTATTACAAGGGGATGGCTGCTCCATGTTCCATGTCTCCAGGAACACTCTGATCACCAGTCTTAGGATGCAAATAGAGGAGGGAAGTTGGGAACTGGGAGAAAGACAATCTGGGGAGGCAACCATGTTACTTTAAGTACCTTAAAAAAAAAAAAAAAAAGGAAGAAAAACCCCAATCTAACTCAAAATATGCTGACAAGCACCACCTCAGTGCACAAATATGACTGAGCAGCCTTGCATGAACTGGTACAAGATACAAATCCAACACTGGATTTGTATCAAAAATCAACCAATGCTCTCTGCAGACAGCACAGACACCAGATGCTTTTCACTGAAATTACTACTATCTAGGAATGAATAAAATAAACCCCACATATACTAGCAACAGGTTTCTTAACCTGATGATTTTCAGCTTTGGTCTCAAGTTTCCTTCTCAAACACCTGAAGGGTCCACAAGTGACTACTGAGAAATTGCTGACCAGTGGTTTAAAGTCTTAGTGCACTGATCTGCACATTACCAAGAAAGTGAAAAGTAAGGAAACAAAAAGTGAAGATCAGTTACAGCTTTTTTCATCCTTTTAGTCAGAATTAGAGAAAAAATTCAGAATATAATCACCATAACATTGATAATTGCACAATGATGCAGTTTAAAAATCATAAAATATTTAGATATGGTTGAAACTCAGCTGCTCTACCCCATAGATCTGTACACAGCCCTTAATTATCCTGTGTGTCAAGTGATACAGTTCCCTTTACAACTCACAATATTTATGTTAAGACTTCCTCACATGGCCAGATAGGCTTGAAAAGCTTTACCAGAGTAAGCTGAGCTGCTGAGCACCACTCCCAGATAGTTCCCCATATACTCCCAAGGGCATGCCATGAACACATGCATGAGTATGGAGTACCCACAAATGAAACAAAATGCAGCCACAGGAAGTCCAGGAAGAAAGTCTGTGTTTTATGTCCCCCAAATACACTAAAGGAGCTCCTCTGAAAGCTGCTTGAGCAGCACCTCACATCCAGAAGGTGCTATCCCCATAGAGGAAAGGGGTTTTCCTTTGTTACTTATCCTCTGCAAGGAAAATTTGTGTCTTCTTATGTTTTAAAGCTAGATATGGATATTATAATCGTGTTGCTGAGCCCTTCATAACTCATGTTACCACTGAGTTATGCTTAGAAACCTTTACCTTAACATGATGTTACCAACTGTTATGTTGCTGGATTAGGCAAACAGCTCCAGTGAAGGAGGCTGTTCTCAGACTGAGCTCCAAGCTCTGGGTATTTCCAGCAGAGCTCCAAAACACCATCCCACCACCCACTTTGACATGGCCCCCGGCACTGGAGATTTAGATAATTCAATTACACAAATGCCCCTTCCCAACAAAGCAGAACAGCCTGTTGCCTTTTTGCATTCCCTTGCCCATGGCAATTGCTTTAGCACCTCTTTTCAAATGTGCTATTAGAGCTAATTATGAACGAGCAGAGGATTCAGTGGCTGCAGCTTTTCAGTGACCACCCTTTGGAAACTGCAGCAACACTGCTGAAACAAAAAGCACAGGCACTGGATCACTGCAGTCCAGGGGCATGGGGTTATTCCCAGAATTAAAATCCAAGAATGAGCAGAGCCAGGAGATCTCTCTTCCTGCTCCTAAAGCTGTTTATCAGCAAAGAGCAATAAGCTGACTCTTGCAGACCCTTTTGATCCAGACACTGCAGTTCTCTGACAACAGACAGTATAAAGGTACCTAAGATAAGGCAGCAAAAATGTGTTAAGGCACATCTACAGGCACAGTGAGACTTGCTCCAGGTCACCCAGCAGAGCACCACTGTCACTGCCTGCTTAGGGCAGCTAAATCCTTTAGCACACTGCAAACGAGCCAAGATGGAAGAACATTTATTAAAAAGGTAATGGAAGAGAGCATAAATCTGTCATGCTGTTTGACTAACTTTTTAGAACCATACTAAAGCACAGGCAATTAAAAAAAAATTGGTCTGTAGCATTCCTCTCCTTCACTACCTGCTCATAACCCTCATAATCCCTAATTTATTCTTTATCTCTCATGCTGCCTGAATGAAGGTGCTGCTGCAAAACTGAACAAGACAGAAGAATTCCTGAAAACCTGGAGAGGCAGGTGGGATTGTGGAGGCTGCTTGGACAGAGGTATGAAGGAAACCTGTGCTGGGAGCACGTCACTCTGGAAAAACAGCATCACCCATTCAGCAGATATCCCCTCTCACTGAACCCATTGTTCTGTACAGCCTACACATTAACTGATAGTGCCTTTGGTAATGTGTTTTAGCAGGTGCTGTGGTGTTTATGGTCTGTTAGGAAGCCAGAGTTTCTCCCTCTCCCTTTTTCTTCTGGTTGCTCTTACAATTTCTCCTGCTTTTGGTTTGGATGTGAATTCTTCCAGGGTAAAGGTCAGAATTAAAAAAAAAAAAAAAAAGGAAATAAACATTAAGTCACAAAGTCTTGAAATGTTATTGCAATTTATATATGGCTGAGAATAAAAATGTGTCTGCTTTCTCTGGGAACACACCTACGTGCAAACAGAGACCTTTATAAAAAATTCTCCTTTATTACCCTGGTGGGGAAAAACATATCAAAGATTGATTTTTCTTTTTATGACTATTATTAACCTTTTGTTACTGGCCAAAAATAATCTGGTTAGAAAATGTGCAATGTATCAAAAAGAAAAGAGAAGAATTTAACAGAAAATTAATACTTGGGGGGAAAAAATATGATGATTCTCTCTTTTGCTTTTACTTCTGAGAGTCAGACTTCACCTCCAATGGAATGATACAAGTGTCAAAGAGATGTTTCAGAGAGAACCCAGAACCACCTCCCAGGCTGCCAGGGCGAAGGGAATGGGCAGGAGCCTGGTTCCACTCCTTCCCAATTTCAACACAAAGCTGTTCCTGTCTGTATCCAACACAGCACTCACTGGCTCTGACTGACAGGAGATGGACAGGATGTGCAAAGCCCCCCATTTGCACTGGATTCACTCTACCCCTCTTCTGTGTCAGGAAAAACTCCTATTAAATCCACTACAGCTGAAACCCTGGAGACCTAAGCACAAACATACAGATCTCACCAGCCACCAGAGAGCTGTGCTTCCTCATACCCATCCCACCTGAAATTCTGCCCAGGAAAGGGCAACACAGACTTTTTTACAACAACTGGGTGTGTGTGTAAATACCAACACATCTATCTGTAGCTTGTGAACACTACAGCTCTGCCCACAAGCCTTCAGACTGCAGCTCTGCTTCACATTCACCTCTTACAAATGACCCAGGCATTTACTGAAGGCTGCTCAGGTCTCACCAGTAAGAGCTCAAAGATTCATCAGCAAAGGTGTCTCTATGTCCAAACTGAGAAGGAGAGCAGAGCCAAAAAGTGTCGTGATGGTAAAGAGCAATCAATCATAATCTGACAGGAATATGTTGGACAATTATTTCTGAATATAATCACATTTACATTTAAGGCCAGCCCTTAGTTACAACAAACTGACAGAACTGGGAGTGTTGACTCAGGAGCACTGGCAGACTGGTTGGCTGGAAGAAACCATTTGCAAAGTGGTTGCTGAACCAGTTTAGGTCAAAACCTGGTCTGTTCAGACATCCTAAAACTGGTGCTAGGTAAGCTCAGACATGTGGCCTGCAAACCTCACTTGCTCAAAATTCTGTTATTTTTCCCAGATTACTTTTTTTGCATGTTCTTATAAGAGAATCCCAGAATGGGTTGGGTTGAAAAGGACACTAGAGATCATCTAGTTCCAAACGTGTGGGCAGCAACACCTTCTACTAGATCAGGCTCCTCCAAGCTCTGTTCAACCTGGCCTTAAACACTTCCAGGGATGGGGCAGCCACAGCTTCTCTGGGCAACCTGTGCTAAGGCCTTCCTACCCCCACAGGGAAGAATCTTTTTCCTAATATATAATCTAAACCTCTTTCAGTTTCAGTTGTTCTCCCTTGTCACTACATGATCTTATAAACAGTCTGTCTTTCTTGTAGGTGCTGGAAGGCTGCAATTAGGTCACCCTGAAGCCTTCTCTTTTCCAAGCTGAACTATCCCAATTCCCTCAGCCTTATAGGAGAGGTGCTCCACCCCTGTAATCAACTTTGTGGCCTCCTCTGGACTTGCTCTGACAGGTCCATGTCCTTCCTGTGCTGGAGCCCCAGAGCTGGATGCAGCACTGCAGGTGGGGTCTCACCAGAATGCAGCAGCTTTTCCATGACAAATACCCCGAGAGAACTTGCTGTGGAGTTTGGGAAGAATTCAGCTCCATGGAAAGTTTTGGTCAGGAGGCTGTGTAACACATCAATCCAATTTACCTCTGTGCTCCCTCTTACCTGGATGTTCACATCAGCAGCGTTCTGTAACAGAACTGAAACCAGCTCCTTGTGTCCTCTGTCACACGCCCAGTGGAGCAGAGCTCGGCCCTGAAACAGCCAGGAGAAAATTAACAAAGCCAAGCAAAAAAACCAAACCAAACCAAACCAAACCCAACCCCATGGAAAATCAGTCTTGCTATTAAGCAATAAGCACCAATACAAAAATTAACACAGACTTAATAATAAATACAAAATAATACTAGTATGTCACTTACTATTACTGGTAATTTGGACTTCCACAATAATGCTAGAAATGTCAAAAGTGACACATAGTTCAATTTTTCATTAATTTAGCATCACACCCACAAGCCAGCTAGAAATTTAGAGGGGAAAAGCAGTGAAGTATGAAACGCAGGAGTCAGCACATAATTTGTTTTCCCGTATAGATTTAGGATTTTGGCACCTCTGACTTTTCTGGGAGCAATGACTTACACAGCAAAGATAGGCTATTCAATGCTGCCTAAGTCACCTGGATGCCAAGTCCCCAAAAGCTCATTCCTCTGGCACGTCTGAAGCACTCAAGCCATGGCTCCTGCTTCTGCTGGAAGAGAAGATTAAAACTGGGTGTCTGGGCAGGTACCCCTGACTGTCCTCTTTTGGGCAGGCTGCTGCATCCATACCTCCAGCACCTCCCAAACCGTCAGAGTTTTCTTCCCATCCCCTTTCTACAGGTGTCTGCCACCATGGGATGGAAGTAATGGAAGTTCAGATCTTCCTGCATGCCCAAGAGCATGGGAAGTAGCTTAGGATCCCTGAGAAAGGTAAGCTGGGGTTGTTTAGCCTGGAGAAAAGGAGACTCAGGGTGACCTTACCACTATCTACAACCCCCTGAAAGGTGGCTGTGCTCAGCTGGGGCTGGGCTCTTGCTCCAGGCAGCACTGACACAACCAGAGCACACAGCCTCAAGCTGCACCAAGGAAATACAGGTTGGATATCAGGAAGAAGTTTTTCACAGAAAGAGTGATAAAGCTCTGGAATGGCTGCCCGGGGGGGTGGTGCAGTCACCATCCCTGGGTGTGTTTAACAAAGCCTGGATGTGGCACTGGGTGCCAGGGTTTAGTTGGGGTGTTGGGGCTGGGTTGGACTCGATGATCTTGGAGGTCTCTTCCAACCCAGTGATTCTGGGATTCTGTGAACTCAAAGTAGTTTGAGATGGCAAACAAAGAAGAAAACCTCCTATGTACACTTTGCAAATTAGCCTTAATGTTCTATCTAACTCTCCTGGTTTAGGACAGCACACTTGTATGGGATTTCTTGGAAATCACCCTGCAGATCACCAGGAATCACCTCCCTCAAGCTGTGACACCATCAGACTGACCTGTGTTTTTCAATATGCCAAGGAAAACAGTCACAGACCCTCACAAAAGAAATCATTTAAATTAGCCCATGCCTGGCTATAAATCTCTTGACAAAGCAGTGGGGAACAAGGTGAGCAACTCATTTATCTGCTAATGGGAACTGTCAGCCAAATTTCCTGGCCACAGTGCCAGAAAGCAGGAGGGGCAGAAGACACCTGTGACCAAAGCTCACACTGCTTCTGCTGGATATTCCTGGGCAGGCAAGCAGACGTAGAGCATGATTTTAAGTCAGGAAATTCACTCTTTTTGACCCAGCCACTAATTAATTTGTAACATGTAATTTTAATGTTACACTGATTAACCTTGCATTAGAATGAATTTTCTGACAGTGACTTTCTATGGAAGCACTGATGACATCCACAGGCCATTTAATGATTTATATTCTTGCACCCAACACCCCTATCAAAGTCTACAAGGGGGAAGGAGTACAACTTAAAACAATTGGTAAATATGGAGAGATCTTTAATTCACATTTAGCATCCTTAACTCATCTCTGGACTGGTAATTACTTAAGACTTAGGATTTCAGTTGAACAAATACCAACTTTTTTCAAGCCACAGCTGTTTATCTCAAAAGGAAGAGGCACATCTGAAATACGCACAATAGCAAGAAATACTTCAGCAGATTATTTCAGTGTTTTGATATATATATATATAGAGGAATAATATTGCAATTATTCAAATGTATTCATCATACAATTACATGATAAAATAAAGGCACTTCTATCTTTTATATCAAAATCCATGCTACAGATTAGGGGCTAAAATATGTTGGTTTGCATTTGTCTCTGGATAAGGATAATCTTTTTTTATTGGTGCTGAACTTGTCTGAGACCAATAAAGGAAAACCAACAGTTAGTTGTGACAGCACAGGGGTACCAGAGCACTGTGCAACTGGTCCTGCCCATGACACTGGCAGGCTGGTTCTGCTACACATGGTGCCTTTTGAACAAGACAAAACCCTGAAGCCTGATCATCCACAGTCATTAAAAATCTCCTTGTGCTATTTGCAGGAGTATGGATTTCAAGTCTTGGGCCAATTCCACTTTGGGTAATTACACTCTGCTTACCTATATATTTTCTCCATAACTCTAAATGGATACAATATTTTCTAATTAGTGCCTTAAATGGCTCTGCATTGTAATTGTGCACTATTAAACAGCTGACACGTTCCACCCAAGGAATGTCTGCAGCATGCTACGCCCTGGACACGGGGTGCAAGGGGCTTTGGAGACTTTCTGTGCAAGAGCACACTAGGAAATGTGGAATGAAAAATACCTCCAGAAGAATCTCAACCCACTTATTGCATAACAAAAAGCATTACTACAAATTTGGTATTTAAAATGGTTTGACTTGATGATCTTAGAGGTCTTTTTCAGCCCTAATGGCTCTGTGGAAACTAGATATGGATAATATTCACAACTATTTGTAGAACATCAGAATAACAGTCAACAGCTCTAGCTAACATACTTAGGCAGCTATACAGCTACAAAATCCACTTGTTTCCCATGTCTAAAATAAATCTTAGTGATCAGTCAAGCTTAAATATAACATACAGTCCCAGTCTTTGCTTAGCAAGGATATCACCTCTGCACACTGAAAAACTCTTTAGTCTGCCCAGCTGCTGCTTTATATCAGCATATAGCATGTGTTTGTGTGCTTAAATAATGTGGCAGAAATCTTAAGGGCCACAGATTGAGCTTTCCCAAAACAATTCCCACATGACTATTTCATTAAGCAGTGAGAGACTCAAAGCAACATGAATAATTTCACGTAGGAAAGCACTGCAGCAGTGAGGTCTTGGCTAGATGCAGTCAAACATCAAGGTACTCCCTCCCTCCAATTCAAACACAACAGTTGTTGCAGAAGTTACTTGAGAGGATGCATTTCCCCCCCACCTTTGAAGTATTTAAGAAAAAAAAAGGCATAAAAATAGCCCCAGTGCACTAACCCTGCCTTTTAAATCTTCTGTGCTTTGCTTGGCTAACTGCTGCCAGCTTGGCCAGCTCCTGCAGCAGTTTCTCAAGCCAACAGCACATCAATTCTGCTCAGCTCCAAGTCACAGGGTGTTCACAAACAAAGCACAGGACAGGGATTTGTCTCCCATACACTGAGTCGGCAGACAAATGGATGGGAATGATTTTCACATCAATTAGCCTGAGCAGAGAAAGGGGAGAACAAAGCCAAACCGAATGGATGTGCTACAGTATAAAACTACACTTCCAGGCACGATGTTTGCAGCTATAATGGCTGGGTAGCACTGAGCCACTCCAACTTGTGGCAAGTGTTCTGTGAGCAGTAATTAAGAAGAGACAGATATCTACAGAATGGCTGCATCCCCCTGTGACAGCAGAAACAGTGAATGGAAGGGTTGTTGTTACAATTACACAGGTAAACTTGACTTGGAAGTCAATCACCTTCAGAGCTCTGAAAGGTTTGGTGAAGCTTTTCTAATGGGAGAAAGCCTATAAACCCAGAAGGATGTGACCCTTCCTCAAATACATTTTCCCCCCTGTCCTTTCCTTGGCAAACTGGCACCAGTTTGGCACTTGCTGTCTCAAAAGCTCAAGGATCAGGGATCAAGTGAGCATCCTGTCAGATGCCTTTCACTGAAGTTTTGGCAAGGGCTTAAACATTGCACACAGGTAACATGTTTGTTTACTGGCATTTGTTCCACAATTTAAAAAAATTATCTAGGTACAACCTCCACAGCCTTCGGCACAAATTACAAAAGCAACTCATCTCTGCCTTTGAGCAGCTCCTGGTTTGTAAGAAGATGAAGAAATACTATTTTCAAAAAGGCAGCAAGTGAGCCACACTCCCAGGATGTGCCTGGGGTGACTTCACAGCCACAGACCATTTCTTATTCCATTAGTCCTGCTGACATACACAAGGAAAACAGGTTGTTTTAGTCTGTGCTACTTCTTATAAGTGAACGCAAGCAATTCTGTTGAACTCTGGGCAATTTAGATACAGTAAATGGAAGCTTGTACATGATTACTGTCATTAGGTTCTTTGTTTAATTCTAAATTGAAGTTTATCATATCCAAACTGTTAGCAGTATGCTGGCCTGAATGCTGCACATGAAGAGCTTTACTTCTTCTGGGGAAAAGGCCACTTATGCTTTGGAAGTTTCCCAGTGCATCTATCTAAACCCCAGGCTCTTCTGCTGCCCTTTCTGGAATCTTTTTGCTTTAACTAAGTTGGCTCATCCACACTTCATGTTTTTATTCCTGATTTCCTTTCTCCTTTCACTGACTTCTTCCAGGTTTGTACAAAGTCGGGGGGATACAATTAGATGGAGTACTACCATATCACATAAAAATAAAATCTAAACACCCTACAACCCCAACCAAGTCTTCACTGTCCAAGGGAAGGCTGAGCTGAGTGTTTTTGCAGCTTAGCACGAGCCTATTTGGTGCTTCAGTAGATTTTGTTTCGTAAGAAGTTAACTCTTTGGATGTACCCTGCTGATATTTTCAATTTATAGGTATTTAAATCAAAGGATTGATAGTGTGAATTATGTCCAGAAGCCAGGTGAGGCAGCTTTTGGATTTGGCAGGATGTATTTACACAGTAACACTAAAACAGTTAATAAAAATGACAAGACTGTGCTTGTGTACACTTTACAAAAGGCTCAGCCTGGGTTATCTCTAGTCTAAAATGGGTTCTAAAACTTCAATCAACCTGCATGATATTGGAAAAGAAGTTACTTCCCAGACTGGGAAGAACATGTCTGGATACCAAACACCACCAGCAACGCTTTCAGTTCCATAATATATGATGAAACAACTATTTCTTTCAGATTTCCTCCTTTTGGTATGCTATTTTTTTGGTGTTTTGAGCATTTGTTGGGGTAAACCAGAATTGTTGAAGCTGTGAGAGTTTCATCTATGGGAGAATTTTGTCCCAGTGGGAATCTTCTCACAAGTCCTTCACAGGCAGATGTTTTTGGCTCCTGCCTGTGCTGAATCAATCCCGTACTCTGCAACAGCCACCTGCTAATACCCACCAGTTAGAAATAAGACATCTTTTACATCAGGGACTCATAGATAACGCCCAAAGAGGATGTAATCTTGTAGGTTTCTTACATAGTTTAGATACTTCACCTTCCACAACATATTTTGATTTTTTTAACAGTATTTCTTTGGCTGAAAACAAGCATATTTGAACAGAACAAGCACATTACTTGAACAGAAAGGAAAATACGAGCTTCTGAACGCTGCTAATTACAAAAGAGTATCTTGCCAGTGGGAACAAAGCAATGCTAACATGCACTTATTGCAAGCATGTGATCCTAAAAATGAGCTTTTATTAATGAACAGACTCCAGCTGCATTTTCTGTGGGACTGCCCTGGACATCCCCTCCTGTAACCTGTGATCAGCAGGAGGATGGAGCTCAGGAACAGTGCTGTTGCAGTGACTGTGTGGCACATGACAGTTTCAGTTCATTGAATTTATGATGTGAAATTCCAATCGTGATTGTGAACACCCTCCCTCCTCTCCTCTGAAAATTAATTCACATGAATTCCTGATTAATAATAAAAGGCCCTGCCATCAGCATTCAGAGCCCCAGCCGGGGCTGTCATGGCTCAGAGGGCAGAAATCTGCTTCGAGCTACAGGAGAACCCAACTGAATTTGTGGCGTCTCAGTCTATGAATGTCTAAGCACTTCATCTGTTCACCAAAACACAACGTGCAGGAAGGAGCTGTGCTCAGGCTGGACCAGGGACAGGGCTAGGTGGCAGTGTGCAAGCAGGGAAACCAAGGTGACAAACCTGGTACAGCCACAACTCCTGAAGGATCAACAGGAAACTGCTCCCACCAGGTGTTTACTCTTACCAAAAAAAGGATGAAGCCAACTCACAGTTTTAGACTGTTTTTTCTTGGGGTTTCTGGCAATGCCAGAAACCTCCCTGTGGGGAATGGTGGCTTGAGTTTGATGAGCAGAGAAAGACTGGACAATGTCACTGATTTTGGGAAGCTGGAAAGCCTCTGTCACTCATTATAGTAAAGTTAGGGTGCTCTTGATGAAGGAAATGATTGGTATTTGACTCTATTGATTCAAAATGCTGAACAGTTGTTTTACTAAACTGTATTAAACTAAACTATATATATTAAACTATTTATTAAACTATATATTGTGTTATACTATATTATAACTATACTACAAAGAATACTAAGGAATATTCAAGAAAACTCATGACTGTCTCCCAACAGGCAGGACACAGCTTTTTTAAATTGGTTAAGGAAACAAAACAATCTTTAGCAGTATTTAATTGACAAATTATTTTAGGTAAACAATTTTTTTAACACATTTCACATGTGCAAAATAACAAGTAGAGTAGTAAGTAGAGATAAGAATTGTTTTTCTCTTCTTCTCTCTGTGTTTTTCTAGGAAAAAACTCTGAGAGAGAGAATTATGTCTCTTTGTTCAGAGAATGTGAATGCCACAACTCATTTCCTCTCTCTCTGAGAATGATGAAAATCTTGTGGCATGTGAGAAATCCTCCTTCAACCTGAACAGACTTCATGGGTCAAAAAAGCTGCTTCCCTCATTTCTACTTCTGTTTGACCACATTTAGTGTACAAAGTGGGGAAAGGGAGGTATGCAGAAGATTTTACTCTGCAAGTGGCTGCTGGTATTGCTGAAAATAATATATGAACTAAGTTTGTGATCTGACATGCTACAGCCCCACAGTTAGACATCCACACTACCAGAAATCCAGTGGAAATCTATTTCCAAACAGATTACCCTGCCTCAACAATCAAGTGTTTGTCCAACTGTTGCAGCACCTTGTTATAACAATTCTATTCATGGAATTTTAAAAAAGGAGTAGCAGTGAATTAATACACAAAACAGATAAAAGATTGATGGTCCTTATCTTTTCTCCATACCTCCTCATCTGTGACATTCACATCCACTTTTTTTGATTGAATGGCTTTGGTTACATAGTCAATGTTGTTTTCTCTGCAGTAATCAAAAATGTTCTTGTCCTCTTCCCTATTCAGGAAACAAAAGCAAAAGAAGCACCATGTTACTGCACAACACAAAGGCCCCATGCACATTATATGCTCTAACTTTGTTACAGATATTTCAGTGCTGTCATTGGATACAAACAGGCAGCTAGGTATTGCACATGCAGAATAATGTGCTTTTCCCCACATTCCCCAATTTAAGAAACAGAAGATCCTGCTTCCTAGAAAATCAAAGGTTGTTTTTAACAGTATTATGTCCAGACAAATGTCAGTTTATTTCTGTGAGATGGCACAAGAAATGTATGAAGTTAGCCAGAACAATCCATGTTCAAGTTCTGGTATAAATCACTGCAATCCCACATAAGAGAATAGGCTAAAGTTGCTCTTCTTGTAAGAGCCACTCTGGGTCACAAGAAAGCCCCATCCAATGCCATCCACCCTGGACAGAGGCCACTAACATGGCTTGGAAAGAACAGCAGGACAAACAGGAGACCTGCAAAGCAATCTGTCCCTGGCTGAACACATGTTGGATCCTGGATACACCACCAGCAAGGGCTTGCTTGGAACTGCTTGCAGGCAGGAAGATCAGATGATGGTGTCACAAGTGCTTGAGTCACACCTACAGCTCCTCTTACAGCTAAAAGCAATACTCTGGCTTCAGACACAGTAGAACTTCCATTCTTACCTGCCAAACAAACACCTTTAATGAAGTTAAGACCCCTCACAGATTCTTACAAGAATAATACCTTTAGATAAGTACAGTGATACCACTGTGCTGCTAGCAGGGAATAAAGAAAAGAGGCCATTGGTTTTCCAGAAGTAAGCCAAAAGCCCACATAATCCCCTCTCTTTCTAGTTTCCAGATGAAAACCATGGTTCAAATGAGCCCATCAGCATTGCTATGGGACTTGGCAGCTTCACAAGAGTTAAACACAGAGTTGTTGCCTCACATGACATCCCAGTTTTCAATCACCTTATCTAAAGACCTTCTGGATGCTCAGCAGAACTCAGACTGACAGCCTCAGTTACTCAGAGAAAAGGGAGCTTGCTGGAGCTGGTCAGACCCAGTAAGGAGCTCAGTCTGCTGTAGGCAGGGGAGATGCAACAGGGAAATTTGAGAACTAATCCCCTGGTGCTAAAAGGCAACAGCACTTCTGTTCATCTGCATTGTTCTTGAACTTGCAGGCTGAAGAACTCCAGGAAGGAAAAGTAAAATCTAGGTAACATAGGCATTTCTGAGTTATTTCTGATAACATAGGCATTTCTGAGCATAGGGTTACAAACAAAAAGTGACACCTGTAGTCCTCCAAAACTGAAATGCCAGCAAGGCCTTCGATCCTCTGCAGAGCGCCATGACCCAACTTTGACTTTGTCTTTTATTGTTATGCATCTGGCTTACTGAGTTACAGTCTGATTCTTCAGACCTCAAGCCTCTGTGTCCTGCCAGGGTGCCAGAAAAAGGTGAGAAAAAGCACTGATACTTGCTCCAGCGGCAGATCACTGCTTTCTCCAAAGAATTCACTTCCTCTCCCCTCCCTCTCACCTGGCTGCCTCAGTAGCACAGTTCTGAGCACACCACCCCTACCCTTTGTACACAGGCAGTGCCTGCAGAGACACCTGAGCTGCACCTTTCTAGTGAAGAGCTGGGAGCCACACAGGATTCCACACTCTGTGTTTAGGCATAAGGACATTACAGGAGGCTCCCAGTTTCTTGACCAGTTTGTCATGAACTCATTCCTTGGAGGTCTTGCCTGCTCGTTACACATAAGCCCCGGGGAAACAGATCGCTGAATTCTTTAAATGCAATTACCTTGAATTCCGGGAAGAAAAGAATCTCACAGCGGGATTAGAAAAGGCAAAAGCTTATACTGCTCGAGATGGAGCTTGACAGACTCATGATGGAGGTCACAAGACATGCCTGCCCCTGCTAACAAGGGCTGATGTGATATGCTGGGAAGTCCCTGCAGTCCTGCCTTGTTAGTCCAACCTCTCCAACACAGCCCTGGCTGCCGACAGCAGCCTTTTGGGAGAGGCTGCTTTTCAAACAATGCTGTACAGGAACTTGGTTCCCCACTGCACAGCCACACCTCCCTCATTTATTACAGACCACTCTTTCTTCCACAGCACCAAAGCAAACCCTGGTCCCCTCTCACGAGAGAGGCCCACAACCATCCCCAGTTGTGATCACTCATCCTGGGTGATTTTCCATGTCACAGCCATGAGCTCGGGCTGTGCCCTTCCCTCCCTGCCAGTGATGCCACCTGGTTATTCCACATACTGCAGAGCCCTGACAGAGCTCACAGGGCAGCACCAGAGGTACCAACAGGGACGTGTGTCACCATGATATTTTCTGAAAAATCCTCTTTGCTCAGCATTCTTCTCCTGGGAAGATGAGAAGCCTGAGAGGAAAAGAAAAGCAATATTATCTGATCAATTCTCCCTGTGTTTGCTGCTTTGGAATGTGGTCTGGACATTGTTTACCAACAGGTGCATCTTTGATTGGTTCCATGTGAATTGTGTTTACTTAATGACCAATCAAAGCCAGCTGTGTTGGACTCTGCACAGTCATGAGTTTTTATTATTCATCCTTTTCTAGCCTTCTGAGGTATCCTTTTCTCTATTGTTTATATATAATTTCTTTTAATATAATATCATAATACAATAAATCAGCCTTCTAAGAATATGGGGTCAGATTCATCTCTTCCCTCGTCCTGGGACCCTCATAACCACAACAGACGTGGCAGCCATAAAGCACCTGACTGTGCTCCATAGGGAGCATCCATGGGGCCTGTGCCAGCAGAGAGAGCACAGCAACCCTGACACACCACAACCAGCCCATTTTCCCACCACAGCCTCCAGACAGAACTTTTAATGTCTTTTCCTGAGGATATTATTGTCTGTAAGGGGAAAATGACCTGACACAGCTATTTGGATATGATTTAGTTTTCTGGAATAACCAACTCTGCAAATGCTCTATATATCCCCATTCCAAAAAACCACTTTTCTTTCAGAAGTGTCCACAATGCAATTAATCCAGAATACCAATTTCCCCACCCGAAGATAAGGTTTCGGGAAATTTCGTTCTTCTACTCTGCATTTATTTCTCAATCTTTAAACCATTCCTTTGCTCCTGATGCCCTCCTTAAAAAAATTAAGCATATATTATATCCAACTTTTCTATAAATATTAACAAAAAGAAACAAGCCCTTTCTGGTCACAATGAGAACATTTTACCTACAAATAAAGTAATCATATGAAGCTGCACTCCAGACATTTAAAACAACCTGATCCAGCTAAAACCAGGACGGGAAACTGAGGAAAGAGCTCAGAGGAGTTAAACCCAGATTTTTGGAGGGACCAATACTAGGGAAGACATTCTTCTTGAATGGTGTGAATGGAATAATGACAAGTTACTGTTATTTGCTGACTTTGCATTGAAAACCACACAGTACAAATAAGAAACAGAGCTTGAAACACAACTTGGCAACTCTGTTTTTTGCCTTCCTTTATTTTACGTGTGTGAGTGTGTATATAATAATACCTCCACTGTAGTAGGTACAGGAAAAGAAAAAGGATGTAATGATTTTATCAGACCTGTTCCTAGCTGGAATTTGTACTCTTCATAAAACTGGTAAGAGTCAGCAGCAGGGCCCAGAAGTGGTAGAAACAGGCAAAAACCAGACAGAAACAGTTGAGAAATACAGAAGGGACAGTGCAAAGACATGCTTAGATCATGTTATCGGGGAGAAAACCCATTGCATTTCTATCAGTATTTTCAGGAAAATCTAAATTTAAATAAAAAATACAGTATTCAGGACATCTTCAGATGAGAACCATCATGAAACTCAACCTAATGGAGATATGCACAATAATGCAAAACCTGTAGCTAAAAGGAAGGCTTGGATGCAATTTTCTTTCCATGTGAGATTGTTGAGATAAAAAGAAGTCTTCAAGTCAGCAAGCACCTGACTGTCAGTAAAGGCAGGTAGAGTTTTTATATCTATTTTCTGAGGACAGCCAGAGGGTCTCTCTTCTCCCTTGCTGATGGTCCCCAAAGCTATTTCCTTGTGCTCTCCCCCATTCCCAGTAAGAGACAGTAATTCTGATTTAAAGATGAGTTGAAGCATACCTGTTGCCTGCAAATAACACATGGGCAGCTTTTTCCATCCTTGAATAAAAGGATTTGGAAGAACTTAAACCAAGTCATCTCTCCCCAGGCTTAGAAGGCTTTACAAGCTTTCTCCATAGGCTGTGCAAAACACATGTGTTGTACCAACAGGTTTAAAACAGCTCATGGAAAAGATCTACTGCCAGCTGATCATTTCCTTCTTATTTGGAGTACTGTAAAACTCCTTGCTTTCCAAACAGCACCAAGGCTGTCACTGAAAAGGGCAAAGAAGAGATTTGAAATTCCCATTATTTTACCCTTGTACAGAGAATACGCTCCAGGTTTGCCGTCCCCTTCCTCCCCCTCCGCAGGTTACCTCCAGCGCAAGGCTCAGGGCAGAGGACTGAGACCAGCCTCTACTCTGGGCATGCTGTCCCGTTTTCCTGAGGCTGGTCCAAGGCACATCCCAGTGGATTTGCAGTGGAGTGGCCCCGGGTGCCGCTAACAGGTGGCTTTGCCCGCGCGCTTGGCACGGCGCTGCCGAAGGAGCGGCACGGCGGCGGAGCGGAACGGGACGTGCGCGGGGAGCGAGAGGCGCTCGCAACACTCGCTGTTTATGGCAGGGCCCTCGGCCCCCCAAGGGACCCATTTTCACATAATCTATAATTATCTCTTCGCTTTAATCGCCTCGTCACTTCGGAGGCTCTCCTGGGCACAGGAAGAGGAAAAGCTCATTAACTGAACCTTTTCTCCTCTCTCCAGCCACCCATAGCTTTTAATTGCTTGGTGTTGTTATTATCTATCAGTGCAACTGGGATCATTTTCATAAGAAAGGGTGGTGGGAGGGAGGGAGGCAGGAGCAGGTCCCTGAGGTACGCTCCACAGACAAACCTTTGCTTTCTCAATTATTTATGCCA